CAGCACTACAGAACTTAGAACATCCACAAAATTATATATGTTTTTAAAACAAATTGATTACCTTGGCTTTTAAAACGTTTCAATTTTCTAGTGTCTTCGGAATGCTCATCCTCTGGGCCCTTCGACTCTCCTATTATTTTGAATTGGTTTTCAACTATAGCCACACCTACATGTGCTCTGAAGAACAGAAAGAAAATGTACTCCATTATAAAGCACTGCGCCCTCTTTCTATGCAAGAATTCTGTTCAAGGATCTCGCATACTCTACTGTTTTTTCTGTGTTCTCATACAGTGCTTTACTTTCCCCATTTGTTCTAAAATATTAAAAAATAAATAAATGAAAGGAGAAAAGGGAAGCTCCTTTCCATTCTTTCACTGATAATAGTTGTGTACAGTAATAGAGCATGTTGGATGCTAATTACTTTTAAATCAATAATCCTTATACATAATTCAGACTTTAATACTCAAGATATTTTTTCATTATAAGTATAATATGTGACCCATTGTGAATTATGTTTGCATGAAAAATATAAGGTGCTGAATGTCATTTATTCAGTGCTCGCTCAGTACCAGATACTGCATCAGATATTTTACATGGCTTTAAATCTGACAACCACTGTATATGTTATACATCACTGTACCAAGTGAGACACAAGGAAACTGATGAGTGAAAGTGTAAGTCAGTGCCAAGGTCAATCAGCCAATCTGTCCTGGTTTATGAGATATGTTGGCCTGATTTCAAGTCTAAGTATTTAATAACCACCTCTCTCCACTGCCTACTTCTTTGGAGCATACTATTTCTAAAAATGACTATTGATTTCCATAAGACAACAAAACGTGAACTTCTAAATGATATATATTTTTATATAGGCTGTGACCGTGACTAATGACTATTTTGATTTTGCTAATGGAAATAAAACAAAAATCTACCTTTGTTTTTTACATGTAAAGAATTCATTTCGATCAACAAATTGTCAAAATGTTTGACTTTATGGACTTTTGTGTCCATGCTTTGTGGACTTTTTGGTGACTTTGATGAGAGGTGATTTTTTAACAGATGTCTCCTTCAATGCTGTGCTATAAGTTGGCTCAGGTTTTTGAGGGTGCTTGTAACAAAGAAATGGAAGTTCTTCAAGTCATTTCAATAGAATTCTCAGCTCACCCTGTAGGTGTGGACCATGTAGATTCCATCTGAAGCTTGGAAATCAGATAAATGTGTGACTTCCAAATAATCACAAAATTTCTGTTAAAAATTACAACTAGCCAAGAGATTTTTTTTTTTAGAAATGTGTATGTTTTGCTTCTTCTTGTAAAGTGAACACTGTGCTGTTGGAACAAAGCTAATTCCATATAACATGGATTCCCTTAGCTCTGCCTCAGCTTGCATTAAGACACTAAAACTATGGCTGATCCTTGAGCTATGCAGGTGCTGGTTGCTGGACTCAAAATGAGACCAGCCAAAGAAAACCTGAGAGAATATTCTCCTCCTCATGTCCTGATGACAGCCATGAGACAGATCCATGGGAACTGAAATATATAAATACTAGAAATAAGAAATTTTGAAGTCATTGGAATTGCATGGGGGGGGTGGTGTCAGATGATTGCCAGATGTGATTCAAGCAATTTTCCAAGAGGCATAGTTAACTGATACCTTAAAGGATAATCAGGATCCAAGGCAAAGGAGAATGTTGTAGAGTATAATACCTTAACCACAGTGCAGACCTGGGCATCCCAAGGGATAAAGTGAGTGCTCCTGTTAAATGTGTCTGGTCTGGAGAAGTAAGGAACGCAGAAACAACACAGGAAGGAATGCCAGGAGCACTGTGTGTAGGGAGATGCAGAAATATTGCACAAGACGTTTAGATTCTGCCTTGAGTGTAAGGGTAATGGGTATTTTGAAAGTAAGGCAGTAGCATCATCATTTAAAAATCACCCTTCCTCCTTCCATGTGTAGAAAGGTTGAAGTGGAGAAATAGTAAATGAAGGGTAATAATTAACTCAAAATCAGGGATCTGAAAGGAGAAAACCCATTTGAGAGACTCAGGCAAGTGCTGGAATTGGCAGGACCCTTGGTGGATTATTTCAACATAAGACATGTGAGTGGCTGGGCGAAAGTCAGGAAGCAGGGGAAGCTTGGGCCATGTGTTGAATACCAGCAGCTTCCAGGAAAGATTGTGAAGAAGCAGAAATTAACTCCACCAGAAAGCTGCCTTATTCAGCCCCTAAACTTACCAGCCCTCAGTAGATATTTGATGAATGCAAATAAAACCAACAAAGGCCCATGCCATTCAAACTGGGCACCTCAACAGACTCTGTGCCAACATGTTGTTATATTTGATAAGGAAAAAAAAATCACTCAATATGGAGGCTTCTTATGCCACTGGAATCATAAGACTCCCCAAAGGATGTATTGAAATTTGTCACCATTTATTCTTTATACCAAGGAAATCAACGAATGGGATCAGTAGTTGGTGTGTGTGTTTAAATGACAATTGGTTTGAGAATTGGCAGTAAAAATACTGTGTCCTTAACTTGTGAAAATAAAACTCCTCTAGTATTTCCTAAAGCACAAAGTTATTATTTATACTGGAGAAGATATATAAATCCTGAAGCCAGTTCCTAATGCCCTAATCGATTCTGACACATGTGCATCTTCAGCAGCATCTACAGAATACTCTGAACAGCCCCTCCAGTGTGTAACAAATTCATTGCTAAAAATAGCTCAACTCAACTCTTTTGTCTGTTTCTTCTGGGTCTCCCAGTGGTGGAGGCATATTTCGATTCCATCTGAAACGTTTATATCAGGTAAGTGCACAAGATTCGAATAATTACAAAAACAGAACTTCTGTAAAAAAATACAATGGGTGTCCAAGGGCTTTAGAAGCTACACATAAACTGAGTCTTTAAAAATATCTCCTTGGGCCAGGGATATAGCTTAGCAGCACAACACCTCCCTGGCAAGCACAAGGTTGCAAGTTTGATTCCCAGTCCCCAAAATAAATGAATAATTAAATAAATAAATATGTCTCCTTGATTTTCTATGATCAGTGAGTAATATCCATATCTAATATCTCCATTATCAAAAATCTTTAAATATGGACAAAATAATTTTCTTGAGAGCCAGTCATTTTGAAGGGTAGTCAATTTATTAAGAAGCCAAGAAAACTGTTAGAAGGCCATGGGGTTCAGCTTGGGATTAATTCCTGACTCTGATAATTACAGGATCTGTGACTGGACTAATCATTACTTCCCTGGAAGCTGAGTTTTAAAATCTTAAAAAATAAAAGAATATATAGTGCCTCACATTTTAAAGATACAATGCAAGCATGAGCATCAAAGCACTAGGGATACAGATATACAATTTTTTCAGTAATTGGTGGGTACCATTATTAATTATTATTATTATTATTATTATTTTAAATTTATTTCAGTACTGGTGCTTAATAGAAATTAAAGAGGTTGTACATGTAGTTACCAAATAGAATTCCTAAATTTTAAATTAGTATAAATTTGAATATTTAACGTAAGTTGAGTTCTGCTTTTGTCATTGACTATCACTTTGTATAATCTATGGATAAAGCAAGATGATAGCTCCTCTTGGTGGTGCATGTCTCTAATCCCTGCATTCTGAGTGGCTGAGGCAGAAGGATCACAAATTTGAGTCCAGCCCCAGCAACTTAGTGATTTTGTAAGACTCTGTCTCAAAACTTAAAAACACAAAAGGGTTGGGATTGTGTCTCATTGTGAAGGTCCTGGGTTCAGTCCCTTGAAACACAGAAAAACCAATCTAAAGAACTCATCTTCATCTTATAAGACACCTAAATCAACTGTACCAATGGTATGTCTTTTTTGTTACCTTGGATATCCTATTAAATTAATGATTATATGGGCTCTAACAAAAGAATGCATTAGCAAAAGTATTCATTACAAGAGCTGTATGTTCCTTAATGGCAGAGCCCTATGTTCCTCAGAGTCCTTCATAGAACCTGACATAGTAACGTAGGCAGCAGATGAGAAGTGATACATTGGAAGAACAAACAGCTTTCTTTGGGGACACAGTGTAACAGATATGCCTGATTTGGCTCAGACTGCATTTTCTTCTTTGGTTAGGCCTCTGATCTCACACAGCCTGGAACAGAGCAGGGAGATTAAGATCTTAAATTGTTCTGAATGAATGATATTCCTTTGCTAAGCGTTTGGTCCCCATGGATTAAGGTCTGTAACTCTTGGCAAAGCAAACAAGAATAAAGAGGACATTATTTTACTTAAAATCTCCCCAATGGATTAATAGTCACCTTTAACACTGCCTTTCATAGTTCATTTCCCAGCAAAAGTTCTACAAATAAGTAATATGAATTACCTGAAATGTTATAATTTGTAGCTGTCAGGTACAGTAATGATGCAGTGGTGGAGATGGGTTAGAGAAGGTGGTTCTGGAAAATCCTATGACCCTAATCCAAAAATTGCACCTCAGCACATGAATAGATGCGTCTTCATGAGTGTCCATTGAAAATATTGTTAGATGAGTTCTGAGCAATTCTACAGCAGAAGGTAATCATGGGAATTCTTGTAAAAACTGACATTTTAAACCTACAGGGTATATATGACCTAGGGTAAAGGGCTGTTGAAATTGGATAATTACACTGGTATTATCTATATCCTAAGCCATATAGTTTTTCACAAGATGATATGCCCCATGTATGTGTGAATATGTAAATGATATTTATAGGAATACACGATTTAGTTGGGAAACAGAAAATGACATGAGGATTTTCACAGGAATTCTTCACACACCAAGTGGCCTTAAGAAATGGAAGTTACTTGCACATAGGAGAAGAGAAAAGTCCTGTTACCTCTTTCATCCTCCCATCAGGAGGATGAAATCAGGAAGTATTCCTGATTTCATCCTCCCATCAGGAGGATGAAATCAGGAAGTATTCCTGATTTCCCCTTCACATGAACACATATCCCAATGAACTTACTCATGTAAACACAATGTGGTTTTCTTTTAAAATAAGCCTTTACTCAATATATCAACAAGGTACTGTATAGTGTAGAGTGAAGTTTGCAGTTAACAAAGTGTGCGACACGGTAGGTCTCAGAGGATGTGGTGCAGAATCTTCCAGCCCCTCGCAGCCCCTTGTCAGAGAGAACACACCAAACACAAACCAGAAGCAAATCAACATATGGTTCAAACAATAGCAAATCATCAGGATTAACTCTCAGTGAATATAATATTGGTCCTGTGGGTGACACGCAGTGGTGATGCCTCACCTTGCCTTAACTGCTAACAAATCTTACATCCATGGACATTTTGGAACACGCCCCCATGTATATTTGTGTGCACACATGTGGGTGTTTTATACTAATTAAAATGCCTATTGCAATGGCCTTGCTTTGTGCTCTTCTACCGGGTGTGCAGCTATGAAAACAAAAACTACAGTAAAAGAATCCCCTGTGTCTTAGCAACAGTATCATATACATACAAAACTTTCCCCCCACAATCAGTGAAAAGCATCCCCATTGCCAGCAATTGTCTTTCAACCTTGCTGAAGATACTGGAGAGGGATATAAGCTAGAGCTTCCTATCATTAGTATTTTAACATAAAGAAGAGTACCAGGCAAGATTCAAAAAGACCAAGAACTGGGAATTGTGTTCTGTATATGTATTATTTTCCCTATTGGACACACTTTTATGCTTTTCTTTCCTATGCTGGAAAGTTATGAGCAAATGTGTTATTCTCATGTTGTAAAGTAAAGTATAATGTCTTCTTGTTATAGGTTAGACAAAAATGCTATCAACAAAGACATCTAAGATAATTAACCACTTCACTGTCAAGGCTGCTCCAGACACTACAGCTGAGATCTGCTGGTCAGTGCAGCACCTGCTGCCTGCAGAGGACAAAGGTGCCTTGTGTTTCAATAGGAGGCTTTGGTCCCAACCTGAGGGGCCTGTCTTCCCCAGGGGAGAAGGGAGCTCTGACTTATGCGAAATGACTAAGACCACTGAGATCCACATTAGTAGAACATGGAATTGTAATATCGGCTACTTCATTACGACTTTTTACCAGAATCGAGGGGGAAATGTCTAAAAGTTTCAATAAACATCTGGATAGTTAGAAATTGCATTATCTCCCACAAGGGAGACCATTTCCCACTTTGTGTACACAGAACAGTCAGAAGAACACCGTCCTATCACAGCCTGTCATTTTCCCTGGCAGTGTGCTGGCAATGCACCTGACGACTCCATGATCACACACATCTCCCCTGACAAAAGGGTGTTAGTGACTATCCTGGATACGAGGAACTATGTGTAATAACTGTGTGAACATGGGTACGCCTTTTGTTTTTGGAATGTTGTCTGTACAGTGACAAGAGTCAACAACATCTCAGTTGGTCAGATAATAGCAACTTCTTTATAAGCCGGCTTTGTTCTATGACCTTGGCCCCCAGTGTCAGCCTTGACTCTTCACTAATCACATCAGAACACATACTGATGACAGCGAGAGAGGCCCAGGTACAGAGTGGATGTACCTGCAAAACATATTCTCCAGATTTAAAATGTCAGTCAAGACATAAACCATGTTCAGCAATTTTCATGAGATACATTAGCTATTACAGATTCCATGATGTGCTCTCTATCCAGGTGTAGGTGAGAGCCCCAGGTATATTATTACAAAAAAGAGCTCTGATTTTAATTGTAGCCATCTTGGTCATGCTGCACACAAGATCATAATAAAGGCTGTGACTGACTTCCGTATTTTGAGGAACACCTGCTAGGAGAGAGACTCTTTCAGGCCATTCTCACCATTTCACATGACTGAGGCTCCATGTACCACTTGAAGCCCGAATACTTCTGCAAATCTGACAAAATATTATAGGAAACTCTCCATTCGTGTTTTTCCTGGCCCAAAGGAAAGACGTTTCAAAAGCTGAAAATCCCACCAGGAGTTAAACATACAATACAAATACATGAAAATGATTATTTTGTGGCTAACAGAAATTAAAACCCTCAAAAGTAAAAGTACCACATTTGAACACAGGTTTATCTACACAGCCAGGGCAAGAGGACAATGGAAGGGAACTATCCAGCTACGTACACAAAAGCCCCCATGTCATTGTCCTGATTTTCAATGGCTTACCGCTACACTGATCATCTTTACAGATTGTCTTATCCCTTCACTGTGTGGACCTAGCTTTAAAACAACAACAGCCAAAACCCTCTAGCTAATAGCCTAAAATGGAAACCAGAGTCACTTCAGAATTAATTTAAATTAAGTCATAGCTAAGTTCAGCTCTACTGACTGCAGTTTTAATTCTTGTGTCTATAACATTACAGCTTCAGTTAGATTTTCTGCTTACTCTGAGGGATGAAGGAGATTAAAACATATAAGTTGGGGTATATTACTAAAGAAAATAAAGCTCTTACTATAAAGAAAAACTTGCATAGCATTTTATACCTACACGTTTACAAAGAAGACATATCACAGTTTTATTTTGCTGAAAAAGAGAGAGAAAGCAAGATGACGGTGACACACACTTCATGAGTCTCTAGTATAAATAAAATATGGAACACAGAGTGAAATTTCTCAAAGTAATTTTGAAATGAATTTTCCAAGGGTGTATTTTCTTTAAAAAATAATGTCTGCGATCTATAGCCCTTCTACATCTAAAGGATGCCAAGGATTAAATTAAATCATATATGTCTTTTGAAGATGGACGTTACTTCAAAAATACCTAGTATTAAACATAAACGTCCCTCTTTTTTCTATGCCTTCTGCATTAGCCCTGCTCTGACAAAATTAGGGAAAGCCTTAATTCTCCGACTTGTTCATTTTTTATCAGTGGTCCTGCTAATATGAGATTAATTAAACCCAAATCAGAGAGACATCCACGATTGAAGAAGAACAAATGGATTCAAACGTGGAATAGAGTCAATGTCAATCTAAAGTGAAAACCTGGTATTGCTTTTAAAAATATGCATTCTCTTATCTATTTTTGATGTGTCTTTATCAGCAGTGGAAATTAGTATGCATTTTAAGATGTAAGAGTTCATATGAATATTTTGTGCAACCCAAACTTGTATCCATAATTTTTTTAAAATATTGAGCAGAGGAAGAAAAAACAAAGGTGGCATAAACAACTTAATTACAAAAATATATGCAAGATGATTGGAAGACAAGAATTTGGGACGGGGTACAGGTATTAATTCAAGCTATTTCAACATGATACTAATGAAATCAGTTGATACAATATAATAGAACCACTCATCAATCATTTTGTCTATCAATAATTTTTAAAATACATCATTTTAATGTATTCCAAACACTTTCTTTTGTTGGTCTAAATATCATGTTGATATAGCCTCAGTGAAACTACCCAAATAATTCTTGTTATCAAAAATAATTCCATTCAATATAATTCTTCCAATTATTTTATTATCCTCTTCTAAAAAAGTATTCTAGAATATATCTCTGTTGAATGTGATTCAACCTGACATATGGTTTAAATAGTGACACGTTTTAAGGGAGTTTTCTTGCTAGGACTGATCGTACTTGTCCCTGAAGATGACTGAAATCATATTCAAGTCTCTAGCTGTTATCACATAGGACCAGAGAAGCATGCAGAGTGATTTTTATATTCCCAATCAGAAAGCCAACCGCTGGGTTTTAAGATCTTTGCAAATCTCCTTTGGATTTTCTCGAATCTGTCAGGTTAGGTTAACTTATCTTATGGGAACTCCTCTCCTCTTGATGTTCTCTGCATTTCCTGCTTGGGATCAAAGCAGGGTAACTACCTTCCTTTTTATATTATGCAGTTTCTTACTTTTCTTCCAGACCAGGAGGTACAGAAATAGCATGAAAATATCTGGGCCATTTCTCGCTATATCCATATTATTCTTCTTACCCTAAGGAGTCCATCTGAACCTGCCCTTTCACCTGATCCTCAGCTCTAAGAAAGGAATTATTCTGACAGCGCCAACAGCAAAGTGGCTAATGTGCGTCATAAGGAAGAATCGTTCTTTCTTTTGCCTTGGCGATGGGTTCTCATTGTACAACCCTGTACAGTACTTCAGCAACTGTTTTTTAAGGTTTAAAAAGCAAAGAGTTACAAAACTGTTTGTAATTAACTCGAAATAGAAAAGATAGCACTTTTTTAAATCCCATTATATAGTACACCGTATAAATTACAGAGTATTCAAATGCACAAATGCATTTGTGTAACATTTATCAAATGTAATTCGCGTGTCTTTGTGTGCACACACGTGTGCGTGCCTAAGAGTTTGGTTGTCCGCCTTGCTGTTGCCGGGCGTCTGGCTGTTACATATGGCAGTGCTCCAGGTCTGGCACGCTGCTGTTGCAGTATCGCATGTTGTTGGGGATATGGCAGTCTGTGTAATTAATGCCCCCGTTTGGGGTGTAAATGGGCTGTAGTCTGAAATCTCCTTTAAGGAGCTGATCGTTATTTAAGGAGACAATCTGAAAACTAGTTTCCGTCATCTCCAGGATGGAGTTGTCCTTCTTGGTACCTGCCTCACAATAATCATCTTTCCGCCGGCCCCGATTGTATTTCCACTTCTGGGAGGTGTAACGCCCCTTTTTGTGCATGTGCCAGCAAAAGATGCTGAGCAAGACCACGAGCACAAATATCACTGCACCCCCAATCAAGCCCGCCAGCAGAAAAGGGGAACCCATGCTGTGGGATGTCGTCTGCTCATGGCTAGAAGCAGTGTTGCTGCCATTGTTCAAATAGGAGGCGTGGGTGGTGGCCTCAGAACAGATGGTGTCTTCCATGGCACGGTAGTTAAAAGCATCCAGTGGCACTAAACAAATCCGATAGGTGGATTTGGGCTCTAAGTTAACCAGGCTCAGGTGCTGCTTCTCCCCACTGACAATGCGTTCCTGCACGATGCCCCCTACCAGACTGTGGCCCATTTTCACCCACGTGAGTTTGTACGCCATCACACTAAAGAGAGAGAGCCAGCTGACTTGAATGGAAGTATCATTCACGAAGTGGATGGAGAGTTGGATCCGCTCAGAAATGGGGGGAGTCACTCTTTCTCTGCCATCCCAGTCCGGAATGGTGGGGAGTTTGGATGTGGTAGGAGCTGGGGGCGTGTAGCCTCTGCTCGGGGTTGGAATAGAGAGGGTGGGAGACTGAGTCACAGGGGAAACTGTACTTGGGGCTGGGGTGAAAAGAGGCAGGCCCGGGGTTGTGGTGGGACATGACAGAAGATTCATATTCAGCTCCCTAACAGCCATCCCCCTGACTTGTTCAGGACCTTGGCACATGAAACCCCGCACGTTGAGAGATGAAGGGATGTACTTGAGCCATTCCGTGACCCATTTAATACTGCAGTCACAAAACCAAGGGTTATTCCGAGCAGTGAGCTGCTTCAGGTTGGAGAGATTATCGAAGACCCCCTGGGTCAACATTCGCAGCTGGTTGTTGGATATATCCAGCCGTTCCAGCTTCCGGAGGTTGGAGAAGGCCGTCAAAGGGATGTGGTTTATCTGGTTGTCCTGCAAATAGAGCCGGAGCAGATGCGTACCTGGGAGATCAGGAGGGGGGTGGGAGAGCGAGTTGCGGACTATTGAAAACTCCTTGAGCTTGGTGAGATGGCTGAAGGTTCCTTCAGCAATGCCCTTGTTGGTCAGGAGGTTCCCATCCACAATCAGACGCTCCAAGCTCGTGAGGTTTTGAAAGGCCATGTCTGATATGACAGCAATTCGGTTCTCGTCCACTCTGAGTTCCTGTAGGTCCACAGGAAGCCCGACAGGCACACTGCTCAGATGGTTCTTGGACAGAAATAACAATTTGAGACTTATAGCTTCCCGGAAGGCCCCGTCTTCCACCCCCACTGTGGAGATAGAGTTGTCATCCAGGTGTAGCTCTTCGAGCTTCAGGAGCTGAGCAAGAGCAGCTCGAGAAATGGTCTGAATGTTGTTTTCCTGCAGATGGAGGACTCGGACATTCTTGGGAAGGTTCATGGGGAATTCATCCAGTTGGTTGCCGTAAAGGTAGACCGTGTGCACGGACTGGATGCTGTGCAGCTCTGCAGGAAATCCAGCATTATTAATTTGGTTGTTGTGGAGGTAGAGTACGGTTACGCCCTCCGGGATCCCAAGAGGCACTGAGGTCAAGCTTCGCTCGTTACAGTAGACAAAGTTCCTGTCACAGCGGCACACGCTAGGGCAGGCCAGGAGTTTTGACATTTGTGAATAGAGCCCCAGGGAAATTAGAAGCCAAGATTTCAGGAAAAAAGCCCTATGGCCGGGCCACTTTGTGGTCTGTAGGCCCATTTCTGAAATACAGAAATGAAATACAATGTGGCAGGGAGAAGAAAAAATAAAAACCAGGCAGTAAAATCAGAATGGGCAGGGTTCTGCCAAAGTCCAGAACTCCAGCGAGAGAGAATGTCCTGAGGGCAGATGTTAAAATAACCTTCCCGATGTCTCTGCTCTCTTCAGCCTGTGTTGCCCTCTTTGTTGCTGTGCTCCATGTGCAAACAAATTCAGTGGGGAGAATTTTCCACACAGGCAGCAGGCGATGGCAAGCTATAAGCAGGAACAACACTCGCCCAAATCAAGTGGACAGAACTCCCGTCTTCTGTTGGGGGTCAGGCTATGGATTTCCTGGTTAATCACAAGCTTCAATCTGTTATAGGGAAAAAGAGAGAGGACTACATTAAGGCCAGTCATAGAGAAACTACTGATATAAATATAAGCCTTTGAAAAGCACTGTGATTGAGACTAAGTGCAGGGAGATGGGTTAGTGTCAAGTGGTAGTTTAAATAACAGTAATTTAGTTGGAAATGTATTCAAGAGATAAATGCTTAAAATATCATCAAAAGAAAATGGTATTTTTACTCCACATTGTCAATAATCATATTGTGAATTTTACATCCTAATCAGTACTTTCTCTTAATAGCTATTTGCAAATAGAGAAGTGCAGCAGACACACTGTGGAATCTGCTGATGAGTGAGTGATGATCACTTACAAAATCCAATTGGTCACAGTGTTGCTGAGGGTGAAGTCAGGAACTGAGCAACCAACAAAATTTAAAGAAAATATGTGAAGCCCATTTATAGAGTTATATATCTTACAGTTGCAAGTGGGACTCATTTACTTTTGAAATCATCCTTGTTAAGAAATTTTTTCAAAGGCAATACATTTCCAAAGACATTTATTCTATATGATTCTGCAGATACAATGAGGTAAGAAAACTGTAACTTTATAAATTTCCCACTCGTCTTAAAATGTCTTTTAAAATTATGACACAAATGCTTATTTTTGTTTATTAGAGAAGTTTAGAGAATAAAGATAATAACAATTGCCCATAGTATCATCCAGATATAATCATCACTTTATTCTCTTCTCTTTTCTGGGCAAGATAGCCAAAGTGCAATCATTATTTTTCTGCCTCTTGGTTCCTTAACAGTTTGAACACTTTTCGTGTCAATAAAAATCATTTAGCCTTTTCTTCTGATGCTAGGATGAAGTAGTACAAATAAAACACATAGAAGCACATGTAAAGGTAGAGAAAAGAGCGCTCTTGTCCTGTCCCGCTTCTCCTCTTTGTCCTCCTCCATAATAGCTTGCACTTGAGTTACCAAGGAGACTGACCAAACTCCTGTCGGTGGCACACTTCCACTGATCCCCTCCTTTGGGATCTCCAGGTACAGATGAGCTGTGCCATTGTGATCCCTTGAAGAGCTGCCAAGCTCATGATTGAGAATAAATTATTTTCTAACCCAACAACCTTCCTGTCAGTGAGCGCTTTCTTGGTTTCATATAGGGACTTTTAGCAAATTGTGAAATGATAGAAGACAATTTGTAAAAGTAAAGGCAATCCACAAGAAGCCATCACGCCTTCCTGCTCCAGAATGTACTCCATTTGCTTTTAGATTAGAGAAGTAAAGAAGCTAATTGAAAGGTGCCAGATTTGATTTTCCTACAAAGTATGTTAACATGATAGGACACGGATATCTGCAAGTCCCTTAATTTTCACCAACACACAAAGATTGAAACAACTTATACTAAAATCACAGAGGGTATATTTGAAAATTTTCCCTTAGCTATCTTTAGAAATATAATTAAAAAGAAATAAAAATCACTGTAAATGTTCAAGTGTCAAGGATAACATAAATTTGTTTATAATTTAAAAGACTGTAGACCATTTAAAATGTCTTTGACAGCCAGAAATGGGAAAATTCATCTTTTTTTATTCCTTGGAAACCTTTAAATCAGAGGAAAATCATTTTTCAGACAAAGACAAAGGAATATGATGCTTTCTTTAAAAATGAAGCATTAAAGAAAAACTTGCAAGTATGAATTTTCCCTTTTCTTGTGAGACAGGGTTTCACTATGTAGTTCAGGCTGGCCTTTAACTCAGTATGTAGTCCAGTCTGGCCTCAGACCCAGCAATCCTCCTGTCCCAGCTTTTGGAGTACTGGGATTACAGGAGTGGGCCACCACACCTGGGCATAAATATGTATTTTACAATGGAAAGTGAGTCATTTTCTCCAGAAGCAATCTCTATATGCTTAAAGGACAATTTATGCAAAAAAAGGTGCAGAAGAAAAGTGAGGTTAACCCAATTAGATTGATACAATTTTTAGCTCAGGTTTGTAGGCATTTTAATGATTCCTAAGATAACTTGAGCATCTTGCTGCTCAAGTGTAGTGCCTGGCCCAGCAGTTTGAGCCTGATCTGAGAAGTTGGTAGAAAGGCAGCACTTTAAGCCTAGAAAGTGCTCATTAGCAAGAGTCTTGGGTGGATACATTAATATTGCAAAGACATTGTCATAAACACAGTGATGGCCTTAATTAATCACTCCTGTTTTAATTTATTAAAATAAACGCAAGTGCATGTCATATGACTACTAAGAGAAAAAGCAAAAGACATACTAATCTCTTTTGTCCCTAGGAGATAGTCTAAAATTTCATTTCACATGTAAATTACATCTCTATGCGGAGCATTGCAATGATGGTATATGGCATACAGCTTATGAAAAAAATGTTTATTTCAATGATAAGCACAAATTTCTAGCAGAAATTTAAAAGACTTATCTGTAGTCAGAGCAGCCCACTTTCATAAAGTAATTAAGAACATTTAGTCTTTAAAGAGGTAGGAAAGTAGCAATAACAGAACAAAGCATGTTTTTGGGTACAGAATTCCCCAGGAGTCTTTGAAGTCTGACAGGAGCACACACAAGGAGCACAATCTCCTAGGTGATTGGGGAAAATAGCTGCACCAGGAGACGCAAGTTCCTAGGTAAAAAGAATGGATGCTTTCATGCCCTGGTTTCCTCATCTGAGAATAGAATAACTAAATAGCTCTTAAATCCAATTACTGTTGAGAAAGTTAAATAATACTTGTGGAAAGCTTATGCAGTGCTTTAATGTGGCAAGACTATGGCAGGTATAAAAGACCTCTCTTTATGAAACTGTCATCAAATAATTGGTCTGCAACGTTCTATGTACCTTTGCCTACCACAGGTACATTTTGGAGCAGCCGTATCCAATATCTTCCAATGTTGCCACACATATGTCCTCCAGGGAGAAAAAACATGCCCCCAGTTGAGAAATGCTGACCTATGTCATCTTTCAAGTGTCTTAGAAGGTGGGCATTATTATTATTAGTCTTCTAGAGGAAATTAAAGCTAAATTTCTAATGAACATTACCTAAAAAAAAATCTTCCTTCGAAAGAACACCAATAAAGAGCCTTTTACTCATTTATCCAACCGGTCTTAGGGGGGCACTAGGATGAGGACACAGCCGTATACTGAACAGATGTGATGGTTTTGGCTTCACAATGCTTATGTTTTCTGATGAGAAAAATGAGTAAATAGGTGATTAAGGTCTGTTGTAAAGAGCTCTAACCTAGTCCATGGGGCATTAAGGGAAAACACAAACACAGATATGCTCTGGAGGAAAACAGACCCAAGCCAAAGAGCCAACTCAAGGAGTTCTGCATATGGACACAAGCTGTTTATAATTTGAATCAATACATAAAACTCAAAAGACAGGTAACTGCGGGGCTGGGGATATAGCTCAGTGGCATAAGCACCTGCCTGGCAAGCATAGGGTCATGAGTTCAGTCCCTGGAACTGCAAAAACAAACAAACAAACAAAAAGACAGGTAACTGAATCAAAAGACAGGTAACTGAGATAAACAGTCATTTCTCAGTAGAAGTATAAATGGTCAATAAACATGTAAAAAAAAGTCCAAACTCTCTGGACATCAGAGATATACAAATTAAAACAACACTGAGAAGTCATCTCATTCCAGAAAGAATGGTTTTCACCAAAAATCAAATAAAAACAACTGCTGGCAAGTCTGCAGTTCTTCTTGGTAGGAATGTAAACTGGTGCAACCACTATGAAAATAAGTATGGAGATTCCTTGAAAAACTAAAACTAGAAATTCTGTTTGATCTAGCTATTCCCACTCTAGATATCATGCCGAAAGAGTTAGAGACATCATATTAAGTGATACATGCACACCCATATTTATAGCAGCAAAATTCATAATAGTTAAATCGTGCAAGTAGCCTGTATGTCCATCAACGAATGAATGGATGAAAAAATTGCATCCATTGCAATACTACTGCACACAATGCAATTGCACACAATGCAATACTACTCTTCCATAAAGAAGGGCAAACGTTAGTCATTTGTAGGAAAATGAAGCATTAACATTAAAATCATAATGTTAAGTGAAATAAATCAGGCACATAAGCTTAAATATTAGTGGCTTCTATTATGTGAGAATCCCAACATATAAAGAACAAAATGAAAGGTATACAATAAGATACAGGGAGATAAATTTTGTTCCAATGGGAAGGGGATGGAAGAGGAAGGGAAGCAGAAAGAGAGGAAGGGAAGGGAAGAGGGAGGAAGAAAGAATGAAAAAAGAATTAAGATGTGTTGTGTATATATACCAACTTCCTACAAAGAATATAGTCATTGTGTAACAGACGTGAACTGGTAAAAAATAAAAACTGACAAAGAAAGAAACAGAGATGAAACGCAGGTCAGAGAAGGAACGAAACCTCAGCTGCAGAGCACTTTCTCTCAGATGTTCGCTTCTCACTATTTTCCTTCTAGAACATCATAATTCTGTGTTCTATAATCACTAGTCACTTTATTTAGAGGTCTCTAAATTTGGGGATAAGAATTGTTCTATAAGAGGATGCTGAAATATGGAGAGCAAACATTTGGGTTTTGTTTCCTTATTTGTTTGATTATTTTATTGAATATTTTTCCTGTCCAGGAAACTAGAAATTATACAGAATAACAAACTGAAGGTGCAAGGTGAAACCAGAAATTGTCATTGAAAGTAGGTAAGAATTTCAAGAGCCTTAATGTAAAAATACTGTTTGAGGACAACTAGAACTTGGTCTACCTGTGTATTAAAGATGACAGTAACAGCCGCAGTTATCACAAGCTCCTTCACCTTAATTTAACTCTTTTCATGAAAACAGACTTAAAGTACATAAATTATGTAAAAGTTTTCTGCGACGTGTTTCTCTCTGAGTATCGCCTAGCAAGGATTTTTTTTTCTTAATTAATTCCAGAAGTGTAGTATTCCAGAAGCACTCACTAAACCCAGACTATAAAAATCATAGTACAGAAAATAAGAATTGTCAATAA